CATGAAATGTTTAGTGCCATCACCATTATTAATCCTTATTTTCTGCAGTATTTTCCCATCATGAATGATAAAGTTGGACACTTGTGATGAAAAAGCCTTTTGAACAGAACCTTCACCTGTTTTCAGTTTGTATTTCTCTCTGAGGCTTTCTGCAAAATGTGTGTGATACTTAGAGCTTTACATCCAATAACATCTATTGTGCATTGGCCTTAGTGTGGGACTTATTGAGTTTATTAACATGGTTCAGATCTTCAGGTTTGCCAGATTATAAAAAGCACTATGCTCTTCAGGTAAAGAAGCTCTAAGCAGCCATCCTGGAAGCATTCCTAACACACAGAAGTGTTGAGAAGAAACTCGACCATCATGTAGCTGCTTTGCATCACAAGATGGCCCAGGAGAGAAAAATGAATCAGTTACTGTATCGCTTTACTGTCTCGTTGGGCATAAGTCAGATCTGTTGAGCTGGAAGTCTGTGAAAATGTTGTGAGCAGTCAGTATCTTACCTGTTGTAGATAACTCTTTAGGTGATTTTAGTTTGGAGAAGAGTTCATTTCGGACTGAGCTGACAAGCTAAAGGTTAAGTTTGAGCAAAGTCAACACCAGAGCAGACTTCTGCTGTTTTAAAACTTCTTCTTCTTTCGACTTTTCCCTCTTCAGGGGTCTCCACAGTGAGTCATCCTCCTCCATCTCACTCTGTCCTCTGCATCCTCTGTCCTCACTCCAGCTACCTCCATGTCCTCTCTAACTGCATCCACACATCTCCTCTTCTCCTCCTGCTGTTTTAAAACAATACAATAAAATAATAACAGCTCGTGTGAACCATCTTGTTTTATAAACCGTTACATCACCTTCAACATCGCAGTCCACAATTGTTCCATCAGAAAGATTATCTGGATGCTATTGCTAAAGCTAGCTGCTGTTGCTATCTGTGCTCACAAACAACCATAAAGCTTTATGTAAATAAATGAGTGTTGACGACAAAGTAAGGGTTTCTAAAAGGATGTCACATTGTTTGAAGGTGGCAGTAACCCACGTTGATGTTGTCTACACTCAGACCAGCCATGAGCTCATAAGTCTAGTCAGGATGACACAATTTAAAAGTTTACAAGACAGTGGTGAGACCAGCTATGTTGTATGGTCTGGAGACAAAGAAAAAAGACAGGAGACAGAACTGGAAGTGGCAGAAATGAAGATGTTGAGGTTCTCCTTAGGAGTGACAAGGATGGATAAGATTAGGAATGAGATCATCAGAGGTACAGCACAGGTTGAACAACTGGGAGATGAAGTTAGAGAGACCAGACTGAGATGGTTTGGACATGTCCAGAGGAGGGACAATGGGTATACTGGTAGAAGGATATTAGAAATTCAGCTACAAGTTATGGAAGCAGTAAAAGAGGACATGGAGGTAGTTGGACAGAGGACATATGGATGAGGAGGACTTGCTGTGGAGACCCCTGAAGAGGGACCAGCTGAAAGAAGAAGAACATTCAGTATCAAGATTCATAATCATATTGTCCAGCATCACGAAAATGAATAAAGTCCTCTGATCCTGATGTTCAGTGTTTCAGAGCTGCTTCTTTAAAAACGTTCAAATTTCTCTAAAACTTTTGAAGTTCACCTCATCTCCTTCCTTTTACTACACAAACCCAAGCCCTGCTGGCATCATCTCTTTGTATCTAAAGAGGTAGTCTGGTCATTTTTAAAGTGATGCTTGGTCAAATAGAACATCAGTCAGAACAGATTAAGAAGGACGAGGCTAATGACCAAACGACCGAACGGTCTAAACTCAGCATGGAGTAACGTGGACTGGTGCAGTCGAGAAAACAGTGACAGACATTTGTCTTTCTCCAAACTCTGGTGTCACAGCTCAGAACTTTTGGACAGAACATCACCTCAAAAACGACCAGACTGTCCCTTTAGTTCTAATATCCTGTCAGTTGTTATACTGTATATAGCATTGCACGGCCTGCGCTCATGTATGACGTGTGTTTTGTGTCATGTTTACTCCAGCAGGAAGCTGACCTTAAGCGTGTTGTTTCTCATTTCATGAGGTAAAGTCTGAGACCACATGGATGACAGTAAATATGAGAAAAGTCAAACACAAGAACTGCTGCACACTCAGCAGGAAACAGGACAGGAAAATGAAAGATTTTCATCATAAAGTAAATAAATAAATAAAAAGCTCAGTCCATGTTTGGTTCTTAATCTCTTATAGATTAAATTAAATCAGACAGTTTATGCTGCGAGCGAAGTGTAACGACACACTTCACACATGTACACTCTGTGTGATCCTGTTTGCAGGGAAGTAACACAACTCCTTGTTGTACTCACAGAAAGCTGAAATGCCTCACATAGCACACACACACACACACACACACACACACACACACGAGCTCCCATCTTGCTACACAAAAAGTGTAAACTGAACCAACACAGAGGAAGTTATCCTCTAAATATCTCTGCTGGTTTCAACTCGATGGGCCCAACGAGGTGCAGAACCCGACTCTGAGCAACATCTCCTCCCCTCGCTGGAACATATAAGAAGCATGCTTCGTAAACACAAACCACTTCATAGATGTCTGTCCCAGCATGCTGCACGTTAACAGTGAGGTTCCTTCAAGCCGAACATGAGACCCTGAGCGGCGTCAAAATGTTGCAGCGATACGATTCTGCTCTCGTTTTTATCGACTCTTGAGCTTAAACGTTCTTACACTAACAGAAAAAGAGATTTGATCATCAGTGCAAACGGTCCTCACATGTCTGTAGCACATACAGTGTGCTCCTACAAATTAACAGGGCTCTGTGGGAAGCTAATAAACAATAAATATCTTACCTGTTGTAGCTAGCTTTGAAGAAACCTCCTTTGGAGAGAAACAGTTTATTTCTGACTGGAAATAGTCCCAGTGGGGTCAAGATCAAAGTGGATTGCTGCCTTCTTAAAACAACTCTAATTTGAAAACTTTCAAACGGTTCATGTACTTAGCATACGTTAAACTTTTAGAATGCCATTATTTTAAATTACATCAAACTTTGTGGTTATTAGCAAACACAGTTAGTGTAGTTTCACTTCCACTGCGCCTTGCATGGATCACACCTGGAATAAAAAAAGAGCACAACATTTTTCACAGAATAAAATGTAATGTGGAAATGACAGAAACGATAACTTTTATAAATTGGTGCTTGCATGGATCACCAACAGCCTTGTAAATCATTTTTACGATGGCAGTGACCCACTTTGGTCTTGGCCTCGCTCAGACCAGCCATTAGCTCATCAATCCACTCAATTCAAATTGTTTCTGTAAACTGGGGGTGTCCAAAGAGCCATCTACAGCAGGTCAAATACCAGTGTTCAGAACCTTTCCACAGAACCCTTTTCAAAAGATCTGAAATATCACTTTAAAGTTCCTGCCGTATAATTTTTTTTGTAATAATACGAATGCATTTTTAGAAAGATAACATTAATAACATATTGCAAAAATAATTTCTTGCAGCTGAGATGAACAATTCAGATATTCTCATGCACAGCAACAGGAAGTGATGTCAGTAACAGGAAGTGATGTCAAAAGGGTACACCTCCAGGTGAGCAGAGCGTTGCTCCAACGTCTAACAAACATAGACAGGAGATAAGAATTTTATGTTTCTTTAGGTTATTTTGAGTCAGAGTTCAATTAATGTTTCAATAAACAAAGAGCAGGAAGTTCCTCTTTTTAAAGTGTTCCCCTTTGATGTCACTTCCTGTTTCACGTTGGCTGCTCCAAGTTCAAAAGCAAATATGCCAGTTATGTAACAAAATGAATCATGTGTATTATGCCAAATTTTTTAACGATTAAGATGTTTTCTTCCACTTTTCATTTTTGTAGGACATGCAGTTATCAGTTATATGCTCGTTTCAGTAACTTTACTAAACCACAGAGACTTGATCACCTCTACCAACAATGTGGATCTCATTTATAATCCAAAACAGAAAAATTAAAAAAATTTTTAAATCAATTTCTCACTAAGAAATTGATATTGTAATGAGTTTATTGCTAATTAATTTATATAACCCAGTCATTTTCCTCTACATGATAGGGATCTGTAGCCATGTTCCAGGTTTTCCCTGGAGGACCTTGAGACACTCTCAGGCCACAGAGGGCTTGTAATTCATTCTGGGCCATTTGGTCATCTCTTTGGACCACTAGACATCAGATGTCTGAACAAGAGCCTGACACATATCGTTAATACTAATTTTATATTTAAATGTTGCTATATCAGCCAAAGTTGTTTAAACATTCTGCGACTGAGAGTGGGTCAACACCAGATCTTCCCAGGACAAGCTGTGCTGTTTCTAAATTACGCCAGGCATCGTTCTCTGCGCCGTGTGGTGTAAATGTTCCCATGTCATGTCAGCAAAAAGAAGATAACATTCACAGCAGCTGGAGCTGCATTCACTCACCAGCTGTGGTCAGAGGTTTACATACACCCACTGTGGACATGAATCTCATTCATTTGGGAGCTTTTAATAATTTACTTGAACCATTGTTTTCACAGGGTAGAAAGATTATGAAACAAACAACTTGTATCATTTTTAAATTTAAGAACTGGGTGCACCAGTTTGAACTTACTGTGGATTTAATCCACACAGGGTCAAAATAATCCCAACAGACTCCAATTTAGAGTCTTTATTAAATAACTAGTGCTGGAGGTCCAAAGACAGCAATGTCCCATCCTGGTCCTCAAGGGCTGCTATCCTGCATGTTTTACCTGTCCCCTGCTCCAACACACCTGATCCAGTGGTATCACCTCTTCATGTTCTGCAGAAGCCTGTTAATCACCCATCCATTAAACTCAGGGGTGTTGGAGCTGTGAAACCTTTAAAACATGTAGAATAGTGGTCTTCCAGGACGAGGATGGACACCTCTTTCTTAGGATGTATTTCAGCTTGACAATACCAAGGTCTGTTAGCGTTTTGTTGGGACTGCAAGTGTTGGGTGTACTCATCTGTCCCCCTCATATCAAAGGAAAATGGTCATGATGTTCAGGAAAACCCCAGGAAGCACCGAGGTTCAGGCCTGTGACTGCTTCCAGTGAAGCCAGTTTGACATCATTAAGAACTGAGCGGGTACTGGCCAGACATAAAGCTCCTGCTGCCAAAGCAAACCCCTTCAACTTCACCTCACATCAACACTTTGACGATTGAACTTGGACACAGTTGGGTGTTCTGGCAGGACAGTGGTTTCCAACACAGCAAAACTGGTACCTGTTTGGATAAAAAGGTAGCATGAAGTTTCTGTAAAAACCTTCTTAAAGCTGCAGCCTAAACCCTACAGGAAATATATGAATTATGACGAAAAACTGGGTTTATGCCAGCAAACCAACCAGGAACTCTACTAATTCTGTCAAGAAGAGAGGTCACATATGAGCCAGAGTTATGCAAGAAGCTTGTTGATGGATACAAAAAGTGTGTGGTGCAGGTGCAACTTGGTAAGTGATCTTTAGCCATATATTAGTAAGGGTGTTTGGTTTTATTTGCATAAATTTGAACCTTGAGTTGAGCATAGAAAATCCACTATAAATTCAAACCTCTGGACCCAGTTCTTGTTTTTAAAAACTATTGAAGTTCTGTGTTGTAGACTCATTCAACACTGGGACTAAAACAATTCAAATGAATAATTAAAAGCCTCAATTTAACAGAGCATTCATGTCCATGTGTCTGTGTAAGCTTCTGTTTATGAGGAGCAGCCCGTTACCTTCAGTGACTTCACTGGTTCAAAACACAGAGATGGAGGAAACTCTCGTTCTGATCTGACTGGAGTCACAGCCCTCCTGAAGGACGTGGACTCCTGGTGACTTACACGACCCAATCCAACGTGTCATAAGATGACTTTTGTCCAGCAACCTCTGATCTCCCAGATTTTTTTGGAAAATTAAAGAACTTCCTCAACCAGAACAGCTCTGAGCAGCTTCTCCAGCAACAAGCTGGACATCCTATTTATTTTTGTTGTTTTCGTACCGTGTTTGAGCGACATGTTAGGGTCAGGGGCTGACCAGGCTGTAGGCTCAAAGTGAAAATGATTCGTGCAGGAAAGCATCAAACATGGCCCTCTGTCAGATTTGTCTTCTTTGGATCCTGTCTGTCTCTTAAAAGAAGGCGTGACACCCTGACACAAGGTGCGCCTCGGTGTTAGCGAGATGACTCTGTTTCATGACAAACAACAACAAAACCCTCTGATTTTAAAAATGCCACTTTTTATTTCTCATACACTCATACGTAATGTTTTCCTTTGCAAACGATACACAGTCTCACTTTAAACGCACTGAAATGGTAGACAGCTGAACTGTAACACACCTGCCTCGTTTGCTTCGTGAATGAACTGCAGGGCACAAACAGTTTGAACAGAGATCGTAGCTTTAAATAGCATCTGAATGGAAAGTATAACACAGCCAATTCCTATCAAAACATCGCGACCAAAGGGCATGAAAGAATATCTTAAGTCTACAAAGTGCTGCAATGCATACAGAAAACAAGAACACAGAACAGAACAGGAAGACGGGTCAAAGGTGGCGACTGAAGTTCTCCGAGTGGATCACGGGGGGACACTGCACTTACAGTGAGCGAAGGCAGATTCCTCAGCAGAGATATCTAGAAGGAACAAAACAGGAAGAGAACAAGTGAAAACAGAAGTCAAGGCCAGGTTTCAGAAGACTGTCTGTACTTTTAGCGCACGGCCGAGTGAGTGGTCATTATCTGTACCATCAGTGAATCATGAATCATTGAGTCATTCTGAAAGTAATCATTGAAAGTCAGTTCAAGATGGTCACCACAGCTAATGTAGCTTAGCCAACACAAAAAGGCGGTACCTCAGTGTTTTTACAGCTATAAAGCTAACATTAGACTGGGTAGGCATTAAGTGGCAGGTAACGCTGAAGCTGGCATGTGCTAAAGATGATAATGGCTAATTTAGAGTGGATTATTTGACACCAAATGGCTGACACGACTGTTTCTGGATTATGAGCAGATGAGCCTCATAGATTAGGAGATAATTTCCAGAGTTTTGTTTTGTTGTTTTACTAAACATAGAACCAGCAAAGCTTGTGTATTTACACCATCTGCACACAAAATTTTGTTTGCTGCACCTCTCTCACAAAGAACGCTTAAAGGTTGATGCCATGTCTGAAATTAAAGCACTAATGAGAGAATGAGAAGAGCTGGACTATCTGAGCACCAAGACATCCTGCGAGTTGTTGCAGCATTGGAGGAGATTGTTAATAATATTTTCAAGGTTTGACCCAAGTGGTTAAAACGTCATAATTTCTCAGCATGAGATGATGCTAGATTGAACTTGGACTTTAAAGGCGGCAGACCTTAGTTTCTAACTGAAGATGGCGTCATTAACATTTCCCTGAACCGGCCGACCAGAGTCATCCGAATCTCTGATCGATTTGTTGACAAAGACATTATGGAGGTCAGCGGTGGTTTCTACCTCCCCTCTGCCCATTTAGGAGCAGGCAGGGATGGGATGCAGGGGTGGGGGTGGGTGGGGGGCTATAAAAAGTTGACCCCCCTCGCAGTCCGGCAGACTCGCTTCCAAGCCGGAGCTGCAGCAGCATCTGATCTCTCCGAGCAGCTGTCCTCTCCCTGCATCAGCACAACAAATACTTTACATTGCCTGACCTTTTCCTCCTGCATCACTATCCCAGCCATGCCCCCGTGTCCCTCCCCCGAAAGCTACACACACTCACACACACACACACTCCTGGCCTGCGTTCCCCTCACACCTCTCCTTGGTCCCGTCCGAGGCCCCCGCCTGCCACGCACCCAGCTGACATGTATCCCTCATACCCACGCAGTTATGTTATTGCTCTGACACATTAGCTGAGAATGATCTTTGGCCAGGTGTAAGTGTGTGTACGAGCGTGTAAGGAAGAACGACACATTGACTTCTGAGAGGACGTGAGAGCGACACGATTGGATCCTCAAACTAAAGTCTGCAGAGAAGCAGAGGGAGTCTTTAAACATGGCCGACATGTAAACAAAAAATGCATTTTATTTACAGTTATGATTACTGTTATCTGCAGCACGGTGGCACAACTGGTAGAGCTGCTGCCTCTCAGCGAGCAGGTCCTTGGTTCAAACCCCGGTCCAGGGGCCTTTCTGGGTGGAGTTTGCATGTTCTCTCCGTGCATGCGTGGGTTTTCTCCGGGTACTCCGGTTTCCTCCCACAGACCAAAAACATGCATGTTAGGCTGATTGGTAACTCTAAATTGTCCCTAGGTGTGAGTGAGAGAGTGAATGGTTGTTTGTCTCGTTTGTCTCTATGTGGCCCTGTGATGGACTTGCGACCCGTCCAGGGTGTACCCCGCCTCTCGCACAGTGATTGCTGGACATGGGCACCAGCGACCCCCGTGACCCAAAATGGAATAAACGGGTAAAGAAAATGGATGGATGGATTACTGTTATCATACTGTTATACAGTTATTATTGTACTATTACTATCATACTGTAAGAAAGTTATTATTGTACTGTCACTTTTATTACATTGTTATACAGTAATTATTGTACTATTACTGTTATTATACTGTTATATAGTTATTATTGTAATATTACAGTTATTAT